CTATGGCCTTTCTTCACGCTCTGTCCCACTCCCCGGGCACTAAGCAGATCCTGTTGGAACATTTGCTTTCCTCCCTCTCCTAGCCCATCACTATTCCTATGTGTCAGGTCCCCATACCTAAAACCACATTTTACCTTAGGACCCCTAGTGGCCACATTTATTGGGATTCCAGAAGAATTTCCCACCAGGCAACGTACCGCTATCACACTCTCCTAAGAATCAGAGACAGTAACAGAAACCAAGGAACACAATTTCCACCAACATGGAAAAGACAAAATATCAGAAGCTAGAAGTACAATTTTCCCAAACCCAGATGCCTGGAAGTCAGCATAAAAACAATACATTACAGCCAGGACAATATGTCTCCAGTAGAGCACAGCAACCCTACCACAGCAGATCCTGAGTATAGCAACATAGTTGGAAGACAAGAAAAAGACCTTAAAACAGCCTTTATGAATGTGCTAGAGGTTCTTAAAGAGGAAATGAATAAAACCCTTAAAGAGATCTGTGAAAGCACAAACAGTGGAAGGAAATGAACAGACCATTTTAAGACCTGAAAATGAAAATAGGATCGATAAAGAAAAGGTAAACTGAGAGAAATCTGAAAATGAGAAATTTAGGAACTCGAACAGGAATCTCAAGGCAAGCCTCACTAACTGAACACAAGAGATGGAAGACAGCATCTCAGGCATTGAAGACATAGTGGAAGAAATAGATACTTTAAAAGAAAACGTTAACTCTTAAATACTTCAAATACAAAACTTCTAGGAAATCTGGGACACGATGAAAAGACCAAACTTAGGAATGATAGTTGTTAAGTCAGAAGTGTAACCCCAGCCCTTGACATTCATCTAAGTCCCCTGGCCTGGGATTTGCATTGGTCTGGACTCCAAATCCCAGCATGCCAGGTCCTGACCCCTTCCTGGGGGAGGGTCAGGACCCCTCTCACAGGGTATTTAAGTGGGCTCCCAGAGGAGAAACACATGGTTCCAGGTTTGCATGTGCTCCCCACTTTCCTGTCTCCCCACCATGTGCTCAGCCACCTGAGAGCGCCGCATTTAATAAAACAATGGGCATTTTAATTTTGTTTGATCTGACCTAATTGGATTTCTTTGTGTGGTGGAGCCACTCATCTTAGGATTTTTTTTCCCTAACAATAGTAATAGAGAAAGGAGAAAAAAAAACCCATCTCAACGGCCTGGAAAATATTTTCAACAAAATTATAGAAGAAAAATTTTCTAACCAAAAGAAGGAGATGCCTATCAAGACACAAGAGGCATGCAGAACACCAAATAGATTGGGCCAGAAAAGAAAGTCCCCTTGTCACATAATAAACAAAACACTAAATGTACAGAATAAAGAAAGAATATTAAAAGCAGCAATGGAAAAAAGACCAAGTAACAGCTAAATGCTGACCTAGTAGAATAACATCTGAATTCTCAAAGGAGTCTTTAAAAACCAGAGGGCCTGGACAAAAGTTTGACAAACTCTACAAGACTATACATGCTGTGAGAGCCAAAGTTGTATTTTAAGTTTCAATTACTATGCCTAAGGTATCAATAAAACAAAATGCCTCTGTTCTGCAAGCCTCTTGCCTAAGGACAGATAGGTCCTGAAATGCTGAAGGCTGTTGTTTATGGGAGACAACAAGCCATGTGTTTTTAATTCCCCTAAACAAATTTGTTTGGCCCATCTGTTCTGGATGTGCTTGATCACATGTGGGCAAGAGGTTCACAGGCTGGAGGTAAGTCAGAATGTATGCTTGCCTCTGATTGGACCTGAAGGGAAAAGGAATGAATTATGGGTTTTCTTCTTAAGTCACTACAAACTGTGATTCTGGGCCATTTTCCTGAGTTACTGGGTATGAACCTGGCCAGAACACATCAGAGAAAAAAAAACATTCCATGATAAATCCAAATTTAAGCAGTTTTTAATCTACAAATTCAGCCTTCCAGAAGGCACTAGAAGGAAAACTCCAATGTAAAGATGTTAACTTCATCCAAGAAAGCAGTGGAATAAATAATCCCAAACCAACAAAATCAAGAGAGGAAGAATGCACACAAAAATCAAGAGAGGAAGAATGCACACACACGCATGCACACACACACACACACACACACACCTCCACACTCACACACACTCATATACACACACCATCATCACCACCACAAAAATAACAGGAATCGGCAAGCACTGCTCATTTCACAATTCTCAACATCAATGGTCTAAAGACCTCAATAAAGACACAGACTAACAGAATAAAAATAATAACAACAACAACAACAACAACAAAAACAGGTTCCATTCTATTGCAGGGTACTAGCCAAAATGTCTAGTCTCTTGCAGGAGGGCACAAGAAGGCGCAGAAACAATGGCTGACTCCAGCAGCCAGGTGAAAAGCAAAAGCCTACTTTATTGAGGGTATGGGCAGGTCTCCTATACCTTTTTCTGGGACCCAGGGGCAGTGCCAGTCTGGAATGCTGTGTTGTCTCTCTCTCTCATTGGCCCAGGTCATCATGACATCGGCCGTCTCCAGGTCTCACAGCAGACTTCTGATTGGCTCATAGGAAAGTTACTAATGTGCATGCTCAACTGGCCCCTGGGGGCTTCCTCCCCGGGCAGTCACAGCTGGCCATTATCATCCTCCTACACCATTCTTCTGCTACATCCAAAAAAATACCTCAGCTTCAAGGATCGACGTTACCTCAGGGTAAAGGGATAAAAAAAGATACTCCAAGCAAACAGACCTAAAAAGCAAGCTGGTTTAGTCATTTTGATATCTGATGAATAGACGTCATCCCAATACTAATCAGAAGAGATGAGCAAGTGTAAGGACATGGAAAACTTTAAGATTAGGATCTGGTTAAGACACGTGCCCTTTGCAACATCATAGGAGTCAGCAGGGAAATAACCAACTCTCTCTAGCAGCTAGCCCCCCTGCCAACACCCAGCTTTGTGGTCTAGACAGGAGAAGAAAATAACTGCTTCGGGGAGAGGGTGGGGGGCATGCACAGAAGCAGAAGTAGCCACTTAAAGGAGGAAGAGGATATACAGAAGTAGTCCACACCCTGTACTCATTAAAACCATCCCCCTTGCCCCTGGGTAAACCTGGCTTATGGTTTTTGCCTATATAATGTCAACCCCAAATGATGAGGGGGGGTCTCTTCCCTACTGTGCAGCGTCGAGTAGTGGTCAAGTCCTCAGCCTGGCTGGAGAGCCTGCTGAATAAACCTTGCTTTTGCATTCTGGACTTGACTGGATTCTGGTGGTGGTCTCTCTGGGAGGTCTCAACTTGGGCAAAACAGAAGGACACGACATACTCAACAAAGAAAAAAAATCTATCAAAATGACATCGAAATTCTTAACATCTATGCACCAAAAATATGGGCACCCAAATTTATAAAAGAAACACTACTAAAACTTAAATCACAGATTGACCTTCAGAAACCGATAATGGGAGACATCAATGCTGCATTCTTGACAATAAACAGACCTTCCAAACAAAAATTAAACAGAGAAATGCTGGTGCTAAGTGACATCATAAAGCAAATGACCTGACAGTTATTTACAGAACATTTCCCCTAAGCACAAAAAATACCTTCTTCTCAGCAATTCATGCAACCTTCTTCAAAATCGTCCATTTACTCAGAAATAGAGAAAGTCTCAAGAGACACACCAAAACTGAAAGGACAGCCTGCATCCTCTCTGACAGCACAGACGAAAGCTGAATATAGACATCAGAAGCAACAGAAAAGTTACAAATTCATAGAAACTGAACAACTTTCTACTGAAGGAAAAATGGCTCAAGTCGGAAATTAAGAAAGAAATCAAAGACATTCAAGAATTGAATGAAAATCAATACACAACATAACCAAAGCCTTGGGACACAATGAAAGCTTACAGCATTACGTGCCTACATAAAATATTGGAGAGGTATCATACTAGTGACTTAAACACCACACCTGAAAACTCTAGAACAAAAGGAAGAAAGCACAACCTAGAGGAGTACACAACAGGAAATACATCAAACCCATGACTGAAATAAGTAAAATGGAAACAATAATACGAAAAAAATACAAAGAATCAATGAAACAAAGTGTTGGCTTTTTGAGAAAAACAGTAAGACTGACAAACCCTTATCTAAATTAACTTCAAGGTGAAGAGTCGAGATCTAAATTAACAAAATTAGAAATGAAAGGGTGACAGAAATGCAGACCTTGAGCAAATCTAGAGTATCTTAAGGACATTCTCTAAAATTCTTTATTCCACCAAGTTAGAAAATCCAAAATAAATGGATTATTTCCTCGGTATATACCACCTACCAAAGTTAAATCAAGATCAGATAAACAATTTAAATAGACATATAATATAACCCATAGATTACAAAGTAGTGGGATTTTATTTGTCCTTTGATGTAGTAGTTTTGGTTAGCCCTCTTTCATATTTCACTTTCTCCCAAGCCTTGTCCTTCATCCTTGCTTAAATTTTTCCATCTTTAATGTCACCCTTTACTTTTCACAATGCGTTCTGCTACTCCCCTCTGTGATGGTTATTCTTGGTGACCAGCTTTACTGGATCAGATTCATTTAAGAAGTAAACTGCTGGGCACAAAGAGGAGGCATTTTCTTGATAGACTATTGGAAGTAGGAAGTCACCCCCTAGATGTGGATGGTATTGGCAGCCTCAGATAAAAGGATGTCTGTGCTGGCTAGTTTTAATGTCAACCTGACACAAACTATAGTCACCTGAGAGGAGGGAACCTCGACTGAGAAAATGCCTGCAGCAGATCAGGCTGTAGGGCAAGCCTGATGGCACTTTCTTAATTTGTGATTGATGGGGGAGGACCCAGCACATTGTGGGTGGTGCCATCCCTGGGCTGGTGGACCTGGGTTTTATAAGAAAGCAGGCTGAGTGTCTTAGGATTTCTATTGCTGTGAAGAGACATCATAACCGTGGCAACTCTTTTAAAGGAAAACATTTAATTGTGGTGACCCACTTACAGTTCAGAAGTTCAGTCTATGATAACCACGGTGGGGAACATGGTGGCATGCAGGCAAACAAGGTGCTAGAGAAGTAGCTGAGGGTCCTACATCTTGCACGGGCATCAGGAGGTGGTCTCAGACACTGAACAGTATCTTGAGTATATATGAGACCTCAAAGCCCACCTCCACAGTGACACATTTCCTCCATCAAGACCACATCTACTCTAACAAGGCCACACCTTCTAATTATTTTGCAACATTTCTTCTGTTTCCTCTTTGTGATATAATTGGAGGAGTACTGGTATTAGCTTTTCTCTGAAAGTCTGCTAGAATTCTGCTATAACCATCTGGCCCTAATTTTTGTTTTCTTTTTCTATTTTTTTTTTTGGTTGGGAAACTTTGAATGACTGCTTTTATTTCCTTGGGGATTACAGGAATATTAAAATTGCTTATCTGATCTTTATTTGACTTTGGTAAGTAGTGTCTATTGAGAAAATTATCCATTTCTTTTATATTTTCCAATTTTGTGGAGTACACGTTTTTGAAATATGATGTAATGATTCTTTGGATTTCCATTTTTCATTTTTCATTCTGATTTTCATTTCTGATTTTGATAATTTGGATGTTCTCTCTCTGCCTTTTAGGTAGTTTGGATAAGGTTCGCCTATCTTGTTGATTTTCTCAGAGAACTAACGCTTTGCTCCATTGATTCTTTGCATTGTTCTCTGTTTCATTTTATTGATTTTAGTTCTGATTTGGTCACTTCTCCCTAGTATCAGCACAAATCCTCGACTGAGCCTAGGCAAACCTAGCCGTATAGGCTGTGTCAGGTACAGAGCGCCACGTGGTGCTTGTGGAGCAGTGAGGATCTTGGTCTCACCTACATGACTAATGTGGATGTTAAATATGGAATGGTTTTCAATGTTTACTGTTCTTGTTTTTTCTTTCTATCTTCTTCAAGAATATGACTGCTTTGCAGACTATGAAACCTTGAAGACTTTTGTCCTCCATTTTCAAATGACATCATCACAATAAAGAGGAATTCATCCACACCCCCGACTTCCAAAGATCTGAAGCTTTTCTATCTCTTGTTTCTAGTATTTTTCATTTTAAAATATTTAGTGTAATTCTGAAATTAATATAATTTAAAGGAAGTTATGATAGATATTTGGGTGAAGGGAATGGTCTATATAACTTTCTAGCAGCTTTTTATGCCACAATTTTTTTTTAATTTTAAGTTTTTTATTTATTTTACGTACCAACCACAGTGTCCCCTTCCTACCTGCCTCTCACTTCCTCCCACCTCCCCCAAACCATACCCCTATCCACTCGCCTCCCATAGGGAGTCAACAAAGCCTATATGCTAGGACTTTTGATTCTGCTTTATCTTATATCACTCTGAACAGCAGGAAGAAAAACTGAAAATAGGTTTTAATATATTATTCTGTATTTGTATATTGATTATATGTTTATTCCTATTGTATGCTTACAAAAACTTCTTATTTACATTTGTTTAGTGTGTGTGTATGGATGTGTTGTGGAGGTCGGAGCATACTTTTCTGGAGTTAAGTCTTTCTAGGAATGAAAGTTAAGTATATACAAAAGACAAAGGACTGGTAGATTAAACACCTAAATTCCTCTGTTCAGATGTAACAATAAACAATTCAAGCCAAGTGTATTTTATCTGAATCTCTAGCCACATTTTCTTCTATCATTGTCTTAAGGAGATAACATATCTTGTTTGCAAATATTTAACATATTTTTCTAAATAGGATTCTTTAAAACAGGATAATTTTGTCACTATATCATGAAAAATATGTTTAATTTCCCCACTTATCCATTTACTTTTTTTAAAAAAAATTAGCTTTTAATTTTGAATCAGGATCTAGAAAAAATTGGAGTGAGGAAAGTCCATATGCTTGCTATGTATGGATTGCTCTGCAGATTCCCTGTCCTGTGACTCAAGAGTATTTTCTGCCCCTCAGGGCAGTTCTGTGCTGTCTTGCTGAGGTAGCCAGAGACTGTCTGATTCTTCTTTTTGGTTTTGACAAGAAATTCTGGAGTCAAAAAGAAGTATGCAGGAGCTGTAGCCTTTTAATTCATTCACAATGAAGATCTCAGGTCTACTATAACAAGGCACTAAGGCACTAAGGAATACAGCAAAGTGATTAGGTGAGGTGAGACTTTCAGGTTGAGAACAGGGGAGTATAGTGAAGAGACTAAGATTTTCAACAGATTAAAACTAAATTGTTACCCAAGTCTTCCATACATAATTTATGCATTTCTCAAACCTTCTTTCAAGATCAATGGAAATAATCAACCGAATTTGTAAAAGAGCATTCATTGTCCTTGTGATTCCGAGTCACTATGTAGAATCAGTGGGGACACTATACATGGGCTGGCTAGTTTTACGTCAGTGTGACACAGTCGACGCATCTAAAACGAGGGAACCTCAATTGAGAAAATGTCTCCACAAGATCTATGTGTAGGGTATTTTCTTAATTAGTGATCAATGGGGTAGGGCTCAATCCACTGTGGGTAGTGCCACCTAGGGCTAGTGGTCCTCGTTTCTATAAGAAAGCAGGCTAAGCAAGCCATGAAGAGCAAGTCAGTAAGCATCACTCCTCCATGGCCAGTGCATCAGCTCCTGTTTCCAGGCTCCTGACCTATTTTACCTCCTGTTCTGACATCCTTCAACGACAAACAGTGATGCAGAATCCAAATAAGTGCTTTCCTCCCCAAGTTGCTTTGGCCAGGATCTTTCATCACAGCAATAGTAACCCTGATTAAGACAGAAATTGGTACCAGGATAGTGGTGGTACTGGTGTGACAACCTGACCATGTTGTGTCTGGGAGAATTGTGAAAGGACTTTGGAACTTTGAGTAAAGGTTGGTGAGCTCTTCTTTGAGAGCCTGGAAGAAAAGAGTGTTCAGGGAAATGCACATGATAGAGGACTGACTTGTGAAGCTTCAGAAGGAAGCAAAGATTTTACCGAATCATTTGCATGAAAAAAATCTGTGGTATCTGAGTGGCTGGAAATGAAGAATCAGCTGTGATTAAGAAGAGACTGGCATCACTGAGGTGAAATCTTCTGGGAAGTTTTTCCTCAGAGTTAGCACATAGAAGTTGTGTTCTAGAGGTGTCTGAGGTTGTATCTTGTGCTGGTAGCTGACCTTAGTAATAGAAGACTTACACAGATGTCACTGATTTTGAAATCAAGAAGGGGTCATAGAGAGCAGCTGAAGTTTGGCACTGGGTGGCAGGGCTGGAGTCCCTGAAGAGCCCAGAACGAGATTTTTTACTGTGGGTAAAAGTGCAGCCCAATTGTAGAAGAGACCCAGCCTTCTGGAGATGCCAGTGCTGTGGGAGAACTGCCAAGAGCAGCAGTGGCTGTGGAGGGGAGCCAGCCGGAGACTCAGAGACAGTTGTGGGAGCTTCAGAGGGTGGAGCCTGAGACCTGACCCAAGTCCTTTGGAGGAGTCAGTCTGTTCATAAGTGAATCACAGATATTGGGCATTAAAGATTTTTTACACAACTGAAGTTTGGTTTCGCTATGGTTTGACTGTGACTGTGGTTCTTTCTTTTTGAAGTAAGAATGTGTTTGATAGTTTTGGTTTTATAGGAGCCCACAGTTGTAGACTTTGGATATTTTAGGAAACTGAATTTTTAAGTATTCGGATTTTTAAAGACTGTGGGGCTTTTAGAAATTGTAATGTTGATATTAATGTGTGATCTTGGTGATGGACAAGGAAGGAAAAAATATGACTTAACAGTGGTATTTTTGTGCCAAGTTGACAAGGGGTCAGTTATAGGGTCTAGTTTTATTACAACTTGGTACACATTAGAGTCATCTTAAAGAGGGACCCTCAACTGAGAAAATGTCTTCATAAGACCTGGATGTAGGGCATTTTCTTAACTAGTGATTGATATGGGGGGTCCCAGCCCAGTGTGGGTGGTGTGACCCCTGGGCTGGTGGCTCTAGGTTCTATAAGAAAGCAGGCTGAGTGAGCCATGGGGAGCAAGCCATAAGGCACCACTCCTCCATGACCTCTGCACCAGCTCCTACCTACAGGTTTCTGCCCTGTTTGATTTTCTATCTTGACTTCCTTCAGTGATGAACAGTGATGTAGAAGTGTAAGCCAAATAAACCCTTTCTTCCTCTTGCTGCTTTGGTCATTGTATTTCACTATAGCAGGAAAACCCTAGGACGATACTTTATAACAAGTTGCCATGTGTTGTTTGCGCTCACTGAAAGCTTGGCTCTAGAAGTTTTGTCACTCACCCCTTACATCTCAGACACAGGCATGTTTGTCTCAGAGTTTCCTTTTAAAGCCCCTTGTCTTTGGATGACCTACTACCGTCTAACTCTGTGACAAGGAAGAGGGAACAGCAAGAAATCCCGTGAATAAAATCACTGTGCTTTTGAGGATGGCTAGAAACCCAACTATTCTTAACAGGTGTTACTATGCTGACCTCATGATAGAAAAGTACCGACAGTGGGTAAAAGCTGGAAGTTCAGCCACAGGTAGCTTGTACTTTGGGAGAACTTTCAGTTGGGAACTACATCTGGCTTCCCCCGGCCCATTTGTTGTGAGTCCCTGATTTGATGATGTTATCTCTAGCTGCTGCTATCTCTGTTTTTGCTTTGCAAAACCTCTCCTGAAGTGAAACTGCTCTGCCTCAGGCCCTTGCTGGGGGAACTCCAGGGCTGCCTGCACCTGTCCTCTGTTTGTTTCTGCAAGGTGTTTGTAGGCAGCCAATTGGGGGGTCTGTTGTTTTTTGTTCTTTTTCTTGGAAGCCTCACCGGAGGAGCCCTCTGCTCTGCCTGGTGCTCTATCTCTTCCGAACTCCAGTTGAATGCTTATAGGGTGTCTTAAGGTTTCTATTGCTGTGAAGAGGCACCGTGACCACAGCAACTCCTAAAAAGAAAACATTTAATTGTTGCGGCTCACTTATAGTTCAGAGGATCAGTTCATCATGGCAGGGAGCATGCAGGCAGGCATGGTGCTGGAGAAATAGCTGAGTGTCCTATATCTTGAAGGCAACCGGAAGTCAACTGACTCATTGGGTGATATCCTATGCATAAGAAACCTCAAAGCCTGCTCCCACAGTGACACACTTCCTGTAATAAGGTCATACCCACTCCAACGAA